CCCTTGACATCGCCGTGAATTCAGACGTTCCGAATCCGCCGAGAAGCGCTTACTCTCGCCTGCATTCTTCTGCTTCGTAGAACAATACTAATAGGGTGCTGCTCTGTACGCTCCGTACTGTTGAAATCCTCCAAGTCCATCTGCATTTCCCTGCGCCGCAGTGGGGCCGCTGGCCATATGGCCGTCGTAGGGCTATGCTTGCTACCATACCGATCTTATCCGGGATCCAGAGCCAAGCGTAGTGGCGCTGCATCGCTGCCTCGCGAATACGAGTGCGACGGTATCCCGGATCTGGGGGTGAGAGATGTGATATGAGGTGATGTGTTGGCCCTGGATGGAATTTCCATATGTCGGCCTGGTCGGGTGGTCCTTGTTTGCGGATGCTTGGTGTGAAGTCATCGTGGGCAGAGAAAGGGATGGTCCAACGAGGAAAGACCGGCGACGTGCCGGGAGTGGTTGAAATTGATCGCGCGTTTGATCTGATATATACCGGTATATTGACACATATATATTGGGCTCGGCAATCCGCACAAACACAATTCATCGAGATTTCTCGCCTGCAAAAGTGTCGGAACTCAGTTCGGAAGTCCCGCAAACCTATCATGTGATGTGATACAGTATGAAAAAAAAAAAAAANTAAAAAAAAAAAAAGGACAGCCGAAGGGCACACGACTACCGGTAGGTACTATCTCACATAATCGACAGCTCAGAAGCCACGAGCACACACGTGACTCAACACCGCAAGACGAGGAATGTGTAATGACTTTAAGATTCGGTTCCGTTCCCTCCAACCATCTCCCCCGCTCCCGCCCGTGGCCAAATACCTACCGGTACCTATCAACACGAATCAATATTCCTCGCCCCTATCGCCAGAACTCCGAGATTATCTAGGGCGCTTCTCCCACGGGCCGACGAAAAACGCACATCGCTCATAGACCTATCTATCCATCCCATCCCCAATGCACCTTCACCGCACTCTGCTGCCCGAGAGGATGCCACGAAAGTAGCAGATAATAGTAGTGGTATGTAGAAAAGAAAAGAACAGAAAAGGAAAGGAAAGGAAAGGAAAGGAAAGGAAAGGGAAGTGTAGCGCAAGAGGTTATGTTTCTGCTTCGTGTAACTAAAAGAGCAAGGCGGCCAAGGCTATACAGCGAGCTCCTACTTCGTATCCGCTTTTGACGCGTCGTCTGAACGATATCACGCAAGTGAGGCCGGACCGAAGTCAGCTAGTTAGTTGTCGCTTTAGCAAGAAAGCAACAAACTAACGTCTCTCGTCCCTCGTCCCGTGGTAGAAGTCTTCTGAGCGATATGTTTATAAAGATATCATAAGATTCGTCAAGCGAGGCCAGACCAAAGCCAGCTAGCGAGCTAGCTACTCTAGCAAGGAGAGAATAAAGCAACGGCCGGACCCCCGTCCCCACACAGATATCACCTACTTCTTACCATAAGTCGTCAACTTCGGGCTCCCGGCGGCCGGGGGTCCCGAGAACTTGGTCTGCACGAAGACTTTCTGCATGCCATCCTCCTTCTTCTCGAACTTGTAGTAGACCTGGTCCAGCTCTGCCATGTCGACACGGTGGGTGACCATCTTCAGCGGATCGATCTTGCCCTCCTCAATCATCTTGCACAGCTTTTCCCAGTACATGTGAACCGGGGCCTGGCCGTTTCCGATCAGACGGATGCCGCGCTCCATCAGCGAGCCGATGTTGAAATGGTTCGTATCTGTTACCAGGTCAGTGATGTGATTGTAGGTAGGGCTTCTGCGAGTTGCCGAGACGAGACTTACAGCCAACATATATACCGGTGATGCCACAGCGACCGAAGCTGCGCACCGATGTGATCATCTCATTGACGATCTCTGAAGTGTCCGTCTCCAAACCAAGTTGCATCTCAAAGTAGTGTGCCCACCCCTTGGCATACTCCCCAGCCACACACTCAAGTGCGACGTCTGGGCCGCGAGGCACCAATTCCCGTAGCTTCGAGTAAACAGTCGTTCCCTTGGGAAGTGTGCTGTAGTCGATCAGCTCGACCTTGGGGTACTTTGACTTGACAAAGTCGAGTCGCCAGTTGCAGTCGATCATGATGACTCGCGAAGCGCCATGCATGAACGCGAATTCAGCACACATTTGACCGATGGGACCTGCAATCCGTTTAGCAAGTCGCATGATGACGAAGCGTGGAGGTACTTACCAGCACCCCAGATCGCCACGACGTCTCCCTCATCTACACGGGTATCGACCACACAGTTCCAGGAGGTGCAGATGACGTCGGAAAGATACAGACCCTTCTCGTCTGGTACACTGTCCGGCAATTTGAGAAGGTTGACATCGCCAAATGGAACTCGTGTGTACTCTGCTTGGCCGCCAGCCTGTATCGTTCTCAAGTCAGCAGCGGTACGTACGTGAACGGTGATTTCTCAAGCTTACGAATCCACCGGTGAAATGCGAATAGCCAAACATTCCCGCCGTTCGTCCTCCATACTTGAGTCGTGTCAGCTCACAATCCTCACCGTTGGGGGTCGGGTGTTTACCATGCCGTTTTCAATGGTGTTCGAGTTCGTCTTCTCACACTGCGAAGAGAGCTTCCGGTGGCAGTAAAAGCACTGTGCTCCGTCAGCCAGCCATCATGGTCATCCGTCGCATTTCATCAACTCACATCACCGCACGCAATCTGGAACGAAGCCACAACCCGGTCGCCCTTCTTCAGGTTCTTGACGCCCGGGCCCATGGACTCGACAATACCACAAAACTCGTGACCCAGAATATCGCCCTTCTCCATCTCCACCACGGCTCCGTGCAGCAGGTGCAGATCGGAGCCGCAGACGGTGCTTCCCGTGATCTTGAGGATGACATCTCTGTCCTCGACCAGTCTTGGTTTGGGGACATCCTCTAATGGATGACGATGATGGATCGGTGAGTATATTTTTCTCTGGGTGTGAAAGGGGGAAAGGGGGAAAAGGAGAAAAGGGGACGAGTCGACTTACCGACTTTAACGGTATTCTTGCCCCTCCAGACCAGCGCCTTCATCATCTCCCCACTCGGATCGGCATACTTTGCGCGGTCGCGAGCTGGGTTGCTGATATCTTGCGCGGTGGTGGCGTTGGTGTCATGCCCGATGACCCTCTCGACGAGAGCTGCTGCTTGACTCAATGCCATCTTGATATTGGGAGTTCAGGAGAGTGTCGATGATAAGTAGGATTTGTTGGAATCAATCGTGTGAATTGAGATGGAGAAATATGTAAATAATATATAAACAATATATACCGGTAGGTAAACATCAAGGGAAAGTCGTTACGTCACAAAGCAAACACGACGTCACTCGATCGACGGATGTGGATGTGGAACGAGTGCAGAAAGGAGACAGACCATGGAACGAATCCCTATGCCATCTTCTTGTATCACTCAAGCCAACCCAAGCCAACCCACATCAGCCCATCACATCCACATTGTGTTGTGGTGATGCAGATATTGCTTACTCATGGGCTGTAGTCTGTCTGTACCGCGACTCGCTTGCTGACGGGCACTTCCCGAATTCCCGAAGCCGAGGCGAAATAGCTCCCGCCCGTTACCACAAGTCAGCCAGCCAAAATATATATACATATATACATATATACATATATACATATATACATATATACCTTAAAGGGGAATGCAGGAGCATTTAGACGGTCAGCTGATCGTCCGATAACCATCTCTTTTAGGGACGATTTTAATAAGTTGGCATGGCTGGTGGATCACCCTAGGCTTATACTTAAGATTGAATAGAATTTGAAAACAAACGATTTAAATTATTTAAATCGTAGCTAAAATAAAACTATTTTATTCGATTAAATCGTTTTTTTTAAATACTCGTCTTTTCGTGTAAAAACCGTTTTAAGACCGTCCCATGGCCGTCCCTGAGCTTAAAACCGTCCCTGAGAACCTGAATTAGTAAGCAAATACTCTTTTTATTACTTGCTAATCTACCCTTTACTACCTTGACCACTGATTACACCCCTCCTCAAACCATTACCCCCTCCTTGCGAAGGCTGCACTTGCGAAGGCTGCAAGGGCGGCCATTACACGCGGGTGAACTTTTGCTAAATCGATCGATTTCGATAATAAAAAAATTAAAGCGTTGATATACAAGCCGTGGTAGCGATACCGAGAAATATCTTGGCGTCGAACTTCTTAAATTATTATTAAAACAATTTTATTCAAAAGATAATTTTTATCTATAATTATATCTTCTTTAAAATGGTCATCGAACTATTTCAATTTTTTAAAACGAGCTTATTAATAAGCCTGTTTTAAAAATATAGACGAGGACGGCTATAGGACGGCTACAAAACGGTCTCTTTCAATGGGACGGTCTTTTCGATAAACTATTCTTGAAAAGAGCTTAGTACTGAATTTAAGCGGTCCAATAGCCGTCTCTTATAAAAGAGGATCAAAGGACCGTTCAAATGACCCCCTACTACCCTTTATGGTACATATATACATATATACATATATATCTATATCTATATCTATATCTATCTATATATCCAATCCTCGCCCTACTAAAAATCGTCAGTCAGTCAGTCGGATTTACGGATATACAATTATCAAAAACAAGTCATGTTTATGGAGAGCCTCCCTCCCATCGGCTGCCTTGCCTGACCACCTAGGTCCACTCACTCCGCTGCAAGCAAGCGAGAGTCGAACCAACCTACTTACCGGTACCTCAATAAACAGAAAAGACATACATACAGGTAACCTTTAAACCCGTACCCCCTTTTTTTTTTGACGACCAAATCCTATTATTCTTCTCCTCCTTCCCTCCCGCTGTCAAACCCCACCAGCCACATGACTCGTCTGGCAACTTTCTTTCCTCAATGACTCTCGTTGTTTCTAATACATTCAGTTTCAATATTCTATTGGAAGGCTGTTAAGAAAAATCTGACGTCCCGATGCGCAAGAGCCAAGATGAGATTCACTGGATCTGCTGAATGTGGGATTGTGGTTCAAGACCTGGTGTGTGCTGGTGCGGGGATTGTCCAGGATTTTTGTAATTATCTTGTAATTTTCTTTTCATTTTCTTATAATTTTCTTATAATTTTCGTGTGATTTTCGTGGGGAATGTTGGAAAGTGACGTACGTGAGCGAAGTGGGGGGGCGTTCGGAGTTGCTGGGTGACTTCGTAGAAATTCAGCCCGTAGATAATTTAACTATCACGGGTTTGAAATCGAAACTTGATCAAGGCGGGATTCGCTTGTTGACCCGGCCGGCCAGGAGAATAGCGAAGTCAGCCATTTCCGGACTTGAGCACAATCCCAGCGCTGGTCCCTGTCCTTGTGTAGCATGGCCTTGATGCCCTCGGCCAATCTGTGATCCTCAAAATCCTTCGGAAAGACACCTAAAAGATGATCAGCAAACTTCCCAAAACCAAAATTGTCAATCAGCACCTACCATTTCTCAGAGCAGAGAGAATGATCTGCCGTTCGGACTTCGTACCAAATTTGTAGACCCTATGTGTCATTAGCAGGCTACAATTTCGAGATTCCACCAATTTTGACCCATAGAGAGCACTTACAGCTCGAATGCAATGATTCCCAAACTATACACGTCCAGCCTAGTACATATCGGGTTTGTCTTGGGGAGAATAGGAGGGCAGTAAAACTTGGTGCCAGCTTGTCCAGAAAACGGGTAAGGTATAGGAGCCGCTTCACTCTCCGCAGGCGAGACGTATACATCAGCATTGGGGTCCTTCAATTCGTGTATCAGACCAAAATCTCCAATGACCGGGCAGACACGGGTGATCTGCTCGGCGTGGATCACATTGGACACTCGGCGGCATTCATTGCAGTCTGATATATCAATATAACCAGCCGTATCAGGTTCCGTTGATGGGAGGAAAGCAAGGAAAATATTGGCGGGCTTGAGGTCGCGATGAATGATTTTCTGACGGTGGAGGTACTCAACCCCATCGAGTATTCCTAGTAGAAGGCGGACGGCAGGCAATGTGTGAAAACAATGCTTTACCCCAGGTATCTTGGCTGGTTTTAACTGGTCCTGATACCAAATATGTTCTTCTCTGTAGGACACGAGAAGTCAAAAATTGCCTCGAAACCAAACGCTAGGGGAAGGGAACAAGCCAAGGCCTAGGAGGGTCTTAAGAATGTGCTTCCCCAGTACTTACAGCGACATAGGATAAGGAGTCATCTTAATGTATAATTCTAAAAAAGAAAATTAGTCAGCGATTTCCGTACCTCCAAGCGAAAAGAAAACACCCCCAGAGTTTTCGGAAATATTCGGGAATTGGGGAATCCAATACGTACGGTAGTCGACCTCGTTCTCTTTATCAGCGTGTTTTCCGTGGTACGGAACGAGCTGGCCTAGGTCGCTAGTTCTGATGACTAATTCTGCAGTGCTACCAGAAGCCTCATCGTTGACCTGATCGTCTGATTCTTCGAAGCGTACAATATCCTCACTGCTTTCTAGCACTTTGCTCCTCGAAAAACTAGGATCTCCGAATGATACCATGTCTCGGTTTTGTACCTGGGCTTGTGCTTGAGACCTGAAGGAAGAATCCGTCTCCGATGAGGATGAATTGCCATGACTCCCTCTAAGCGGTTCGGCTCCTCCTCGAGGATGTGTCTCGGCCCAGCAGTGGTACTGAATAGCGGGAAGTTAGCATTTACCATGTTTCGAGAAGAGCGCGGTACATGTAGTCACAGGTTCTGGAATAACCAGAACAAGGAATGATGGACTCCTAAATACCTACGTATCGCACAACATTGACGTGGTTTAATTTAGCCAAGGCCTTGACTTCCGCGATCATCATCTCATGGTCAGAACGACCGGAAATTTCGCGAAGACGCTTGCCAGGTATAGTGATTCTCTTGACTATTAAGTGGGAGAGTCAGTAATTGCTTGATCGGCAAAGGTCTGGTTACGTACTGGCGTATATAGAGTCGTCGACAAGAGAGCTTGCAAGGTAAACACGGCCGAATCCTCCGCTTCCAAGCAAACGAATCCTGCCAAATGTTAGCGAGTTACTCCTCACCATGGGGACACAACCTACTCTTTATACTCCTTTCTGTAAATCGACTCCGGAATACTATCATCACTCTCGCCGCCAGGGCGGAAAAACGCGAAGAAGGACGGAATGGTCAAGGCTTTTGACTCGAAAGTAAGTCAGCATTATTTCAATGCCCTCGAAATTCTGGCGAAATTAAAGCTATACAGTTAACTCACTGGATTAGCGTATTGATGTCCGACATCGATATCAGCATGTGATGAATCGCCGAGAGAAAGCCCCTGCCTGAGTAGGAAGCGTGACAGGATCAGCATTGTTCTCAGCAAACTTGAGACACTGAATAACGTACTCTAGTTCCAGTCCCTCGATTTTAGAAGCTCTCCTCTCGACGACGGTCTTGAGAACAGTGTCAAAAGACGACAAGTAGTTCTGAAGGTCGCCCTTGCTAGCGAGCTCTTTGGGTATCATGCCGACCTCGATCAATCTCTTCTTCGTTTCAATGAATGTCTCCTTTGATAGCTGGCGGACTTTGGGGTGATCTGGTCTATGATTATATTAGCTCCATTCTCATGCTTTTAAAACTCCTGGGTCAAGCAGAGACCTACGGTAGGTCCGCCAAGCGGCTGGCGGCCTCGGCCTTGCACCTCTCCTCAATCATCGACAGCATCAGAAGTGCCGACTGTTGCTGGGGCAGTTTGGGACTCGTGATGAGGTTTTCTCGTCGTGTCACTGTGCCTATGTCCTCGACATCCTCATCCAGATCCATGTTTCCTGAGCCCTGTGGATCGCGTTTGGACTTGGAAGAGACATCATGTGACCAGTCCGGGTCACCAGTCCTTGCGCCCGTCAAATTGACGCTCGTTTCAACGCTCGAATCATCTGAAGAGGAGGCCCAGAACCGAGAAGTCATATCTTAGGTAGTATTTCCAGTATTTTCACACGAGCACGGGCATTGATCCGAAAAAGATCAAAAGGTCGGGAACCGAAAGACGAACTTGGAGAGAACAGCTTTCTTCTTCAACATGGGAATTGTGCACTTTTCCTTCGAGTTCTTTTGCAATTCAAGGTGGGTTAGATGGACAGATTGAAGGTTGCCGATCGAGCTTCTAGGTCTTTCGTTTGGCCATGGCATGGTTGGCTGGTTGGTACCGGTACCTTATTAGCCTCTAGGTGCCAGCACTTATGAGGTGCCCGAGTGCCTGAGGCATGAGACAAGAGTCGCGCTAAGAGCGCGTGTAGGATCGACCACATCGCAGTGCCTCGTCAACATCAAGTCACGAATTCCACATATTAATTTTTGGAGGTTCTGACCGCAAACGAGAAGTCTATCAAGCTCATGTTGCTCCATGTCTCCTGTTTGCTACATACCGTGCTGTCTGTTGAGTACAATACATTTTTCCATCTACCATCTATTATCATCTAGCATCCATCATGCCACGAACCCTTCCATGGCTCAAAGGTTCGAACACCACGACCATCGCTCCACCAAAAGCTGGCACGCCGGCCCAAAAGCCGAAGAGACGTGTAAAGGATCTGGAAAAAGCCGATTATGACGGGGAAGACTCGAAGACCTATTCAAAGAAAATTGCCAAGAATAAAGGTCAGGCTCGACCGATCATCCCGACCGAATATCAGAAGCCCATGCTCATAATATTTAGCTGAAGTGCCCCCATCTTCATCGCCGCCACCATCGCCACCAGAGGAGAGGTAAACCCGACCTTCAAGCTCAATGCCCAAAGTCGCAAGTCGGCTGACTAACCCACAGTTTCATGGAGGAGGGCAGAGACAAGGATGACAGATACCGCATGGTTGAAGATGAGCTTTTTAAGATTGCTCAGACGTATACAGTTCATCTTCACACAGCCGAGTATAAGAGGCTGCAGAAAGCTGTCAAGAGCGAGAATGCCGACACGATCAACTCGATTTCCCGACCTGTCACTGGCAAAATGACAGACCATGCCAAGCGGAAATCAGAGGCTGTGGCAATCGCAAAGAAGCAACGAGCTACTATCGAAGGACTGAATGGTAAAAAGGGTGGGAATTTTTCTGACGATAGTCAGGATGAAGGTCTCCCCTACGTTGGCACCACTCTTCACGGGCTGATGGACAGTCCCCGAAAGAAAGCAGCATCACTGGCGAAACTTGGTACAAAGGCCACGACTCGAGCAGCAGCAGGATTCGGCAAAGCATCATTTCAAGCCAAGCCAGACCGACAGTCTTCCCCTCTACCCAAGCATGCTACCCAAAAAGCGCTAGAACTGCCACAGAACCATGTCTCTACGGACAACACGGAAGAGGAAGACGACGACCTGGATGCACCAATAGCAGCCCCGAAGTTGATTGCCAAAAATCAGAAATCCACTCTATGTCCGATATCACGTTCAAAGTCCATACCTACCCCTTCAGCTGTTGTCAGACGAGAGCCTCGGCCTTTCACATCCTTCGAACAGAAATCCCAGTCGAATCCCATGAAAACAGAATCAGAGTCCAAATACCCCATCAAGGTTGAATCGCCACCCATGGCTACTGCACCAAAGGTATCGACCCCCAACGTAACAGGGAAGCCTACACGGCTGTCGAGGTTAGAAAGAATGCGGCAGAACAGGGCAAAGAAACAAGAGGAGCCAGATCTTAAGAAGGAGTATGACTATGATGCTATTCCCACTTTCTGAGACCCATCTACATCTGCTCAGGCCCCAGTCCTTCTCAAGCCTTGAAAGGAGTCTCTTTCAGAGGCTCCGCCTGTGGTGCGATTCTAGCGAGATGCCTTCTCTGCCCAGTCTTCCAGTCAACAAGCGCCGAATGGGAGGTAACTCTGTTATCCCACACGGAACTTCAACAAAACATCACTCTCCTCTTGCTTGTACCCAACGATTGATCTAGTAACTGGACGGACGTCAGGTTTCTTTTTCTGGAGGGGGCGAGCTTCTTACATTGAGGATTTACATAGAGGGCCTTCTCTCCTGTGACAGGGTTTGTTCGCACGATTGGATGCTCGCTAACAACAGGTTCCCTTCGAGCGGCGCCATTATTTCCTCTCGATGCATTGACTTGCTCGACACCAGAGTGTGTTGCCTTCAGGCCATGGAGCCTCTCTTTGAAACCGTCGCTTAATCTATTATATGCCTCGACTTGGTTGGAAAAGAGCGTATCCCCGCCAGATTCGGGGACATCCAGGATATATAAAAATGTGGTTCCGAGTGGTTGTTTCTCATACGGGACATCGCTGTGCCATGCCACGGAACCAGTTCTGGTTTGGAAAAACTGTTCATGGGTCTTGTCGCCTGCACCTCTGTGTACGAGGTGAACCTCAGGATAACCTGCAGGAGCCCCCGAAGTTGGATGGATGTGAAGTTTGCCGAAATAACAGACATAGTCGAGAGCTTCGTCGATAGGCAGATCCGCGAAGTCCTGGTCTCTGAATGCAACAAATTTTCTCTCGGCTACGAAACGAGCTGATCCTTTCCTGCATTGCTCAGCGTACTGAGCTGGATGCCAGAGACTTCTGTTCCTATTGTTGGTGTAAGATGGTTAGTTGTGACACCCGTCTGCCAGAGATCTGGGTATGTCAATTCCGCATCTAGTCCGTGATCCCTGTGTTCGAATAGCTCCAGGGTTGGGTACGTCTCGTTGATGTCCCATCTAGGAAGATAGTTCTTATACTACCAAGCTGTGAGCTAAGAAAAAGAACAGTTGCCTTGGAGACTAGCCTTGGCGGCTGAGAACCCATCCTATCCTTTCCTTGCTCTTCGATATCTTTCTCGTACCCGATGGGTGCAAGCTCCTTGTATGGTCCAACATTACTAATCAGCTTCACCGGACTGTGCTCCAAAGTGATGGTCTCGGTTGCGGAAGGTGCCATTTTGTGTACTGCTTTGTTTGATACGGTTTGAGTCCCGTAGCTCGGAGTAGGCCAACTTTATATCCTCCTCTGGGCAGGTTGCGTCTTCCTGAGCAAGTGCTCGCAACCCAACTCCTCTTGCCACCACCTGTGGCTATGATCCGGGACAAAGCTACCACCTGCATTTATCATTGGCATGCTAAACCATGAGACGTCGACAATGGCTCGATGGCACGCATGATGATAAGACGATGGGGTAACAAGGCCAATATCGAGCTTGATTCGGGGACTTGATTGAGAAAAGTGGCATTTTACTAGTAGAGGGCAGGATGGTGCAATTAAGCTCAAGAATTACGAACTGCATGTCATGATTTCAGTCCCCGGTCAAGGGACCTGAAAAGTGTATGTTACAGTAGAGATTCGGTGCTATTTGACACCTGATCTGGGCTCAGGAGAGCTGATCTGATAACCGAGGTCAGGTCAAGGTCCAAAAAGGTCGAGTCACGTGATTAAAATATTCTGCTGACTCGTATGCTCTCATCTTGGGACTAAAGGTCTACCAGCCCCGATGCATATTTTTATGGCCCAAGAATCCCCCTGAGAGTTTTTCAGCGGTTTTCAAGAAAGTGTGTAGTTTGGAAGCATGACTCATTGTCATGGCTAGACGAGGTGGCGCTTGACTAGCGCGGTTACCAATCGCGGGGTGCGCGAAGTATAACGTTTGAATCTTCTTATCGGCAACCAAACCACAAAACCCCACCAAGAAGTGAAAGTTTTCAAAATACCATATCACCGTCGCCATGTCTGCTATGGACCTTGACGCTCCGGTGTCTATCTCGCAAAGATTTGCGGCGGTAGACCAACAGCAGAATAGCGCAACGTAAGGATCTCTCGACGCATTCATAAGGGCGTTCTAACCCACTATTAGGATTTTGTGCTGCAACTGTGGCGCTGCGATTGATGGAACAACGTCAGCCGGTGCTCTCTGCTACGACTGCGTAAAACTCACTGTCGACGTGTCGCAAGGAATTCAGCGGGAGGCCACTCTACATTTCTGCCGAGACTGCGACAGATGGCTTCTACCCCCATCCAGCTGGATTGTCGCCGCGCCCGAGTCTCGAGAACTGCTGGCCTTGTGCCTGAAAAAACTGCGCGGTCTACACAAAGTTAGGATTATCGACGCCAGCTTCATCTGGACAGAACCCCATTCTCGCAGAGTCAAGGTCAAGCTTACGATCCAAGACTCGGTTTCGGAGGGGGTGGTGCTGCAGCAGTCGTTCGAGGTGGAATACGTCGTAGCATACCAGCAATGTCCGGATTGTGCAAAGTCATACACTGCGAATACCTGGAGAGCTTGCGTGCAGGTCCGACAAAAAGTCCCTCACAAGAGAACGTTCCTTTACCTCGAACAACTCATTCTCAAGCACGGTGCACACAAGGATACGATCAATATCAAGGAAGTGAAGGATGGGCTGGACTTCTTCTACGCAGCACGGAATCAGGCCGAGAAATTCGTCGACTTCCTTACATCTGTGGTACCCGTCCGGAGCAAGAAGTCCCAGGAACTGATTTCTATGGACATTCACACTTCTACCAGCTCTTACAAATTCTCATACTCTGTTGAAGTTGTCCCGATTTGCAAAGATGATTTGGTGGCAATTCCCATAAAGCTCGCGAGATCTATTGGTAACATCTTACCTCTGGGTATTTGTCACCGTATTGGTACAACTGTCAACTTCCTTGACCCAAGTACTCTCCAGACAGCCGACGTCAGCGCCCCCATCTACTGGCGCGCACCGTTCACATCCCTGGCAGATGTTCAAGAACTCGTCGAATTTATCGTTATGGATATCGAGCTATTGGGACCACAAAAGGGTAGATGGGCACTGGCCGAAGCCACAGTCGCTCGCGCATCAGATCTTGGAAGGAATGACAAGACATACTACACCCGTACACATCTCGGAAACGTGCTGCACCCAGGAGACTCAGTTATGGGTTACCAGTTGACCGGCACAAACTTCAACAGTCCCCAGTTCGACGCTCTTGAAGAATCCAACACATACTCCTCACAAATACCTGACGTCATGCTCGTCAAGAAGTTCTACGCCAGAAAGAAGAAATCGAAGAACCGCAACTGGCGCCTCAAGCGTATGAACAAGGAGGAGGGTGAGGTTCTACCCAAGAAGGCCGACCAGGACCGTATGGACAAGGACTACGAGATGTTCTTGCGGGATGTCGAGGAAGATGAGGAGCTGAGACAGACGATGGCGCTGTTCAAGGCTCAGCAGAAGAGAGATGCTGAGGCTATGAGTGTTGTAGAGACGAGTGATGGCGAGGAGGACGAGACGCCGAAGATCAATATGGATGAGCTTTTGGACGAGTTTGAAGATTTGCAAGTTGCGGACAAGTAGGCGGGTGGACTGGCATCTGATGTATTGGCGTTTGGTAGAAAAGGTGTTGTGGTCTGGGTCACTGCAGCATCGGATGTGGATATCTGATTTGACGTTAGATAAATAGCACTTGGTCATAACATGCATCGTTGTCTGTCACTATTGTTTTACACTTGTCACTCTCGAGTCTGGGTCCAACTTGCGGGCTCTCTTGCGTTTTTCCATCGTTACAGCCATTTGCATGGTTGTTGAAATGCATTTCTGAAATGCATTTCTGCCGTCGTGTTCCAGTCTATGGGTCCTATTTGGCAAATTCTCATACCCCCCAATTCTGACTTGTATTGTTTCGCACAGCAAACTCATCCATCCCCCCTCAATATATATTTATAGTCATCTCATCCCCCCTCCAGCCCCCATCCCAAGATTCTCTCATCACCTCACCCACATCTTCCTCCAGAAACAAAAATGCCCGCCTCTCAAGAGTCAAGCTGCAATCCTACTGACTCCCTCGTCCTCGTCCTCGTCCTCGTCCTCGTCCAGCCAGCCAACCGTGGCCTAAAACGTGCGTCGTCCTGTCCTCCCGGCCGCTCCACCCGATGAGTCTTCTCGCCTCTTGCGCAGATCCAGATCTAGACACAGGCTCAGACCTAGACACAGATCTGGACACATCCGGAATCGGAATCGGAATCGGAATAGGACGAGAGACCGCTCTCCGGCCGCGCCCTTCTCTTACGAGGAGAGGAGAGAGAGGAGAGGAGAGGTGGGTCCACCCCCTCCAAAAAAAGCATATTTATCTACGCC